TACACATATATGTAAACAGACATATGTATGTATACACACACACACACACACACTTATACATGTATATTTACTATTTTAACATGGAGGGGAAAGCTCCTAAACATTTTATATTCCCTAGATTGAAGCTGTGCTACAAATAAGCAGGTTTACCTTTTGATGTGTAGCCCCACAATGTGCAGTGAGGATCTGCCCTGTCCTCCTTGCTCCCTTTAAGCTGCTGCAAGGAACCTATACAAACAATCTTTAATTCCTACACAAAGACCTCTTTCCCAGGCTTTCTGGAAGGTGCATATACCCATCCACATGCGTCTCTGTAGACAGAAAGCTTTCCTTGTCCATGATTGCCGTCCAAGTGTCCTGCCTTGCTCCCCCAACCTGGAGTGGAGAAGCTGTGGCAGAGACAGCATCTCCCATATGAATTTCTGAAGTTCTCTGCCTGACAGGCTCCTCCAGCAGGCTCAGAGACATCTGCTTTCCTTTCACTTCACTGCATGAGAGGCTTCCTATTCTCCGGCATGGGACACAAAACTGAAGATATCAAATAAGCACCATCAAACAAGGTAGTAAGACTCGTGTTTGTAGATTCTTCTCGAAGACTGCCTCTCCACAACAATCATGTCTGCTTGGTTGACTTTTTTCTCCTCGTTGTGAGAGGCTATTAACAATTAGAAAACAATGCTACTGACTAAAACTATCTGTCCTATGCCCAGTAAATCAAAAGATGCACACACATCTCAAATAACATCGACACACCTTGTTAAACAGATATGCCCAAAAGAAAAATCCCAATCTTTAAGTTGTCTGCCAAACTGGGGGATGTACATGACAGAGTGATGGAACACATAAAGACAATGGATACTTAGAAAAATGCATTTTTACCAACAAGTAAAAGTTGTATGATGCCTGACAGGCACATGGTCCCAAGTTCAATTCCTGATACCAAAACAAACAAACAAACAAAAAACCTCAAAGTTGTATAATGGAGCAAAGTGCCAACTTTTATTCATTTCTAGAATAAAGCAGGAAAAAAAATCAAATACATTTTAAGCTTACTATTAGTGCTTACTACAAGGTACCTGCCTGCTCTCTCCAACCTGTGAAGATAAGTAAAAAAGTTTGTCAGTCATTGCCCTAAGTAATGACCGAGGTCTTTTACATTTCTGCCTGTTATATATAACATAGCCGGGTATGGTGGCACACATCTGTAATCCCAGCACTCAGGAGGCTGAGGCAGGAGGATTGCTGTGAGTTCGAGACCAGCCTGGGCTACATAGTGAGTTCCAGGTCAGTCTCAACTACATAGTGAGACCCCATCTCAAAACGAAACAAAACAAAAAAAAATTTATAT